ACCCTCACTCAACCACACCCTCACTCATCCAGACCATCACTCATCCAGACCATCACTCAGCTAAACCATCACTCAGTCCGACCACTCATCCAGACCATCACTCAGCCAGACCACTCAGCTAGACCATCACTCAGCTGGACCATCACTCAGCTGGACCATCACTCAGCTGGACCATCACTCAGCTGGACCATCACTCAGCTAGACTATCACTCATCCAGACCATCACTCAGCCAGACCATCACTCAGCCAGACCATCACTCAGCTAGACCATCACTCAGCTGGACCACTCAGCTAGCCCATCACTCAGTCGGACCATCACTCAGCCAGGCCATCACTCAGCTAGACCATCACTCAGCTAGACCCTCACTCAACCACACCCTCACTCATCCAGACCATCACTCATCCAGACCATCACTCAGCTAAACCATCACTCAGTCCGACCACTCATCCAGACCATCACTCAGCCAGACCATCACTCAGCTAGACCATCACTCAGCCAGATCATCACTCAGCCAGATCATCACTCAGCCAGATCATCACTCAGCCAGATCATCACTCAGCTGGACCATCACTCAGCTGGACCATCACTCAGCTGGACCATCATTCATCCAGACCATCACTCAGCTAAACCATCACTCAGTCCGACCGCTCATCCAGACCATCACTCAGCTATACCATCACTCAGCTAGACCATCACTCAGCTAGACCATCACTCAGCTAGACCATCACTCAGCTAGACCATCACTCAGCTGGACCATCACTCAGCTGGACCATCACTCAGCTGGACCATCACTCAGCTAGACCATCAATCATCCAGACCATCACTCATCCAGACCATCACTCATCCAGACCATCACTCATCCAGACCATCACTCATCCAGACCTTCACTCAGCTGGACCATCACTCATCCAGACCATCACTCATCCAGACCATCAATCAACCAAACCATTACTCAACTAGACCATCACTCAACCACACCCTCACTCATCCAGACCCTTACTCAACCACACCCATCACTCATCCAGACCCATCACTCAACCAACCCTACTCAACCAGACCTCACTCAGCCAGACCTCACTCCAAACCACACCTCCACATCATCCAGACCATCACTCATCCAGACCATCACTCAGCCAAAACCATCACCCCAGTCGACCACACTCCAGACCATCACTCAGCAGACCATCACTCAGCTAGACCATCACCCAGCTGGAACCCATCAACTCACTCGACCACATCACTCATCCAGACCATCACTCATCCAGACCTTCACTCAGCTGGACCATCACTCATCCAGACCATCACTCATCCAGACCATCACTCATCCAGACCATCACTCATCCAGACCTTCACTCAGCTGGACCATCACTCATCCAGACCATCACTGTGACATACCAAAGGGCCATCACTCACCACACCTCACTCATCCAGACTTCACTCATCAGCCCCTACCATCACACCCATCCTCATCCAGACACATCACTCATCCAGACCATCACTCAGCCCGACCATTTACTCACTAGACCATCACTCAACCACACCCTCACTCATCCAGACTATCACTCATCCAGACCCTTACTCATCCAGACCATCACTCATCCAGACCACTCAGCCAGACCCTCAACCACACCCTCACTCATCCAGACCATCACTCATCCAGACCATCACTCAGCTAAACCATCACTCAGTCCGACCACTCATCCAGACCATCACTCAGCCAGACCATCACTCAGCTAGACCATCACTCAGCTGGACCATCACTCAGCTGGACCATCACTCAGCTAAACCATCACTCAGCTAAACCATCACTCAGCTAGACCATCACTCATCCAGACCATCACTCGTCCAGACCATCACTCATCCAGACCATCACTCAGCTGGACCATCACTCAGCTGGACCATCACTCAGCTGGACCATCACTCATCGGACCATCACTCACTGGACCAATCAACTCATCCAAACCATCACTCATCCAAACCACTCAGCTGGACTATCATTCAACCAGATCATTACTCAACTAGACCATCATTCAACCACACCCTCACCCATCCAGACTATCACTCATCCAGACCCTTACTCATCCAGACCATCACTCATCCAGACCATCACTCATCCAGACCATCACTCAGCCACACCCTCACTCAACCACACCATCAACATCATCCAGACCATCACTACATCCAACCTTCACTCATCTAGACCATCACTCATCCAGACCATCACTCATCCAGACCATCACTCAGCCACACCCTCACTCAACCACACCCTCACTCATCCAGACCATCACTCATCCAGACCATCACTCATCCAGACCATCACTCATCCAGACCATCACTCAGCCAGACCTCACTCATCCAACATCACTCATCCAGACCTTCACTCATCAGACCATTTATCACGACCATCACTCATCCAGACCATCACTCATCCAGACCATCATCATCCAGACCATCACTCAGCCAGACCCTCACTCAACCACACCCTCACTCATCCAGACCATCACTCATCCAGACCATCACTCATCCAGACCTTCACTCATCCAGACCATCACTCAGCCACACCCTCACTCAACCACACCATCACTCATCCAGACCATCACTCATCCAGACCATCACTCATCCAGACCATCACTCACCCAGACCATCATTCAGCCAGACCGCAACGTAAGTATGGGCCCCCGCAGACACTAGGAGTTGGTTCCTGGAGACCAGACTTACGTTCCATTTCATCCTGCCACTTGTAAGATAAATCAACATAATAATATATTTTTATTTAATACAATCTTAAAAAAACACACCTAATAATATTAAGATAAGTATTCTTTAATAGATTTAGCTAAATTAAAATTGATCATATGATAAGTTATTTAAATTAGATGAGGGAAGTCAATAAAGATTTATTGACTTCATAATAACCCTTCGAAAATCAATAATAACAGTGGCATCTTATAGAATAAATAAGAAGCAGATAATGACATAAGAAAATGACTTACCAGAAGTGGTATCCCCTTTTTAGAGTAAAGAGAAATACCATTGTAATGATCTATTTGTCTGCAACTCACTCCATTTTTACTGGAAAAAGCCATAGTCAAGGCGCTTATTATGTAATGACTTACGTGCGAAGAGTGTTATTCTGGCGGAAAGTTGCTGTATAGACCTTGTGGCTTAGCGCTTCTTTTTGATTATAATAATCTGGCGGAAAGTAAGTTTGATGTCTAAGGAACGGAGAGAGTTGTCGAGATTAGAAAGACCGGAAATGTAGGGAAGGCAGAGGACAGAAGAGTTCCCAGGAGTAGAGAGTTTGGGAGAGAAGAAACTACAAAAATTTTAGCACGTGAGAAGGCAGAGTCTATGAAATGGGAAGGGTAGCCAAGACGGGAAAATGAATTCTGAAGAGTGGAAATTTCTGATTGAAGGAACTGAAGATCACAAATATGGAGAGCACGGAGAAAGAAGGAAATACGAACACTTTTCTTGACAGAGGAAGCATGATAAGTAGTGAATAGTACATGCCACTGTGCATAGGCTTGCGGTAAACGGAAAAAGCAAAACTAGATTTTTGGAACGTTTGTTCAGACTTAGGAACCCATTCAGGCAGTGTGGAGTCTTGTGGCGTTTTAAGAACTTGAGCTCAGTCGCGGATATTTGGGAAATTTGTAATTTTTCCTCTATTAGAACAAAGAAATCACAGATTGGCTGGTTTCATTAGTCTCGTGCGGTGATAGTGCATACACACGGGTCATTAAGTCTTAGAAAGATTGTAATAAAGTTGGTAGAATTACCGACAATATGTAAAGTAAAAGACACAAGTGCAACTAATGTGACATTTTATTGTGGCAACGTTTCGCTCTCCAGGAGCTTTATCAAGCCATTACAAACAATACATGGACACAGAGGGTATATATAGGCTCAGAGTGAGGTGCAATACTAGTGGTAGTAGTAGTAGTAGAGACAAAAGTTGTAGTAGTAGTAGTAATACAATATGGTAGAGCAATTAATTCGTACATGAGTAAAAGGATATAAAGCTATTACTTGGGTAACATAAAAATAGGTTGGACAAATATAGACTGGATAGAGGCAGCCTGTTTCAGTGTTCACTCTCTGTAATGTGCTTTGTGTAGTATAACAGGAGAGACTATGTGATGGCAGGGTTTACTGTTTTCAGGAGAATTCTTGCTAAGACTTCAGAGGTGGTGAAGCTGCCGTTGTTTTGTTTAATTGTATTCGAAACAGCGATCAGTGCTGATTCGAGGCACTTGCGTCTGCGGAAATTAGTTTCTTTGATCACTAATTGGGCGTCCCTGAATTTCATGAGATGATTGGTGGAATTTCGGTGTTGTACACAGGCGTTGTTCAGGTTATCGTTCCTACATGCGTAAATGTGTTCATTGAGGCGGGTGTCGAGGTTTCTTACTGTTTCACCTACGTAAATCTTGTCACAGCCTCCACAGGGTATGGTGTAAACTCCTGCGTCGACTGGTTCGTGGTGCTTTCATTTTGTCCTGGTTAGATCCTTTATTAAAGTGCTAGAAGCGATGGCGACTCTGGTGTTAGCTTGTGAAAGTACTTTAGAAACGTTCAGTGCAACCTGGCTGTTGGGAAGAATTATAACTTTGTTGGGAGTGGTGTTGGTGCGTGGAGAATTTATGATCTGAAGAGCTCTTTTCTTGCAGTCTTTGATGAAAAAGGAAAATGTAACTCAGTGAATGTTTGGTGAATGTAAGTACATTCCTCGTCAAGAAACTCAGGACTACAAATTCGGTATGCTCTTAGGAAAAACCCGATGATGATGCCTCTTTTAGTCTTGGTATCTTGACTGGAATAGAAGTGGGTGAGATCATTTTTATTGGTAGGTTTCCGATAGACTACTTGTGTCCTTTTACTTTACTTAGAAAGATTATTCTAGCAATGTGTATGAAGATGTTGTGTAGTTATATGTAGGAGTTGTGTCTTGTCACAACACATACACTTGTTGTGGTGGTTGTGTTAATGCCCCTCGCACACCTGCTGGCTTGATATTCAAGTTCTGTGTATCGAACTTAGGCTGATAATGCTTGCGAGTGACGGTGTGGCCTTAGAGATGAACCTGCAAGCGACGGTGTGGCCCTGGTGATGTACCTGTGACGGTGTGGCAATGGTGACATATCTGTGTGTGACGAGGTGTTCCTGCTGATGTACCTGTGAGTGATGGTGTGGCCTTGTGACGTACCTGTGAGTGACGGTGTGGCAGAGACCACAGCTGAGTGCGGCCCCTCACCCACTCTGGTAGCAGCAGACACCCACATCTCGTAGCGGTGACCTGTCTTGAGCTCCGTCACCTCCAGCCACCTTGTCTGTTGGTACAGTCACACCAACCACTCTGTTAGTACAGTCACACCAACCACTGACTGTTAGTACACAGTCACACCAACCACTGACTGTTAGTACGCAGTCACACCAACCACTGACTGTTAGTACACAGCCACACCAACCACTGACTGTCAGTACACAGTCACACCAACCACTGCCTGTCAGTATACAGTCACACCACCAACTGACTTAGTACACAGTCACATCAGCCACTGTCAGTACACAGTCACACCGACTACTGACTGTCAGTATACAGTCAAACCAACCACTGACTGTTAGTACACAGTCACACCAACCACTGACTGTTAGTACACAGTCACGCCAACCACTGACTGTTAGTACACAGTCACGCCAACCACTGACTGTTAGTACACAGTCACACCAACCACTGACTGTTAGTACACAGTCACACCAACCACTGACTGTTAGTAACACAGTCACACACCAACCACTGACTGTTAGTACACAGTCACACCAACCACTGACTGTTAGTACACAGTCACACCAACCACTGACTGTTAGTACACAGTCACACCAACCACTGACTGTTAGTACACAGTCACACCAACCACTGACTGTTAGTACACAGTCACACCAACCACTGACTGTTAGTACACAGTCACACCAACCACTGACTGTTAGTACACAGTCACGCCAACCACTGACTGTTAGTACACAGTCACACCAACCACTGACTGTTAGTACACAGTCACACCAACCACTGACTGTTAGTACACAGTCACACCAACCACTGACTGTTAGTACACAGTCACACCAACCACTGATTGTTTCTTAAACCTAATTGCTGTTGTTATTCTTTATTTGTGGTGAGAGAGAGACCTATCCGGGGTGAAAGACACCTACCTGGGGTGAGACAGACCTACCTGGGGGTGAGAGAGACGTACCTGGGGGTTAGAGACACCTACCTGGTTAGAGACACCTACCTGGGGTGAGACAGACCTACCTGGGGGTGAGAGACACGTACCTGGGGGTTAGAGACACCTACCTGGGGGTTAGAGACACCTACCTGGGGGTTAGAAACACCTACCTGGGGGTTAGAGACACCTACCTGGGGGTTAAAGACACCTACCTAAGAGTGAGAGTCACCTACCTGGGGGTGAGAGATACCTACCTGGGGTGAGAGACACCTACCTGTGAGTGAGTCACCTACCTCTGGGGTTAGAGACACCTACCTGGGATGAGACACACCTACCTGGGGTGGCAATATTCTCCTGGTAGCGTGGCGGTCAGGTGGTGCCCTGACATACAGAACATACTTAGTAATGGTGCCATGAGAGCGCTGCGGGGGTGCCCAGGCTACCATCACACTCTCTCCTCCACCCACCACCACTTTGATTCCTGCTGGCGCTTGTGGCACTGTTGCAGGGACGAGAAGAAGTGCCACAGGTTAGTGTGGGCGTGATGGTATTACCCTCAGAGCACAAGGTAGCTAACGTTGTCACAGGCTTACAACACTGAGCTAAATTACCATCATAACTACAAACACAGTTGAGTTACTTAGCTGTTTAAGCAACTCAACTGTGTCTGTTGTTTAAATAATATGAAATTACAAAGACCCCCAGTCGAAACAAGTTACTTTTTCTGGTTCTTTTAGGTTAACCGAGGTAATTCACACATATGTAACTATGTATGATAATTTACGTAGCAGTATTTATGTGTAGCTCTACCTAAATAAAGACCGATCATACACACTACAAGGAGGCGCTTCGAGGCTAGTGGAGACCTCTTTAAGAATTTAGATTAAGCCTCTCCTTTCAAGGGACAAGTATCATTTTCCCAGGAGCAGTGTAACCCATAAGGGTTTACTTCCTGTATCAAGGGATGATCATGTTGCAAGTGTCAATTGTGTGTGGTTGCAACAATACATGCTGTTGTTGCTACAGTACTGTGGCTGCAACTATATTGTGACTGCCCCATTATTGTAGTTGCTACAATACTGTAGCTGTTGCAGTGCTGTAGCTGATACAATACTGTGGCTAATACAATACTACAGCTGGTAAAATACTGTGGCTGGTACAATATTGTGGCTGGTACAATATTGTGGCTGATACACTACTACGGCTGCTACACTACAGTGTCTGGTACAATACTCTGGCTGCTGCAGTACTGTGGCTTCTACAATATTTTTGCTGTTACAATATAAGAACATAAAGAAGAAACACTGTAGCAGGAACACCTCTCTTGACGCGCCCACACTCTGATTTCCCGCCATTGATGCAAACTCTTTGCTGCCTGTCAACCACGCCTCCACCTAGGAAAAAAAATCTCCTATTCCGTGTGCCTTAATTTTCCTCATTAACCTCTGATGTGGAACTCTATCAAAAGCGATAATACTGTAGCCGCTTCAGTACTGTGGCGCAACAATACTGAGGCTGCTACAATACTGTAGTAGCTACAATACTGTGGCTTCAGCAGTACTGAAGCTGCTACAGTACTGTTGCTATTATAATACTAAGGATTTTATAATTCTGTGGTTGCTAAGGTACAGAGAACGCAAAAATTCTGTGGCTGCCACCATACAGTAGCTGCAACAAAACAGTGACTGTATCAGTACAGTAGTAACAATAGAAGCTACTACACAATGGCTGCAACAATACAGTGAACGTAACCCAAAAATTCGTTGTAACAATACTGTGAATGCTACAGTAATGTAACGTAATATAAAATGGAGGCTACGATACTGTGGCTGCAACAACACTGAGGTTGTAACATTGGTGTTACTGCTACAATACCAGGGCAGGCTGCTACAGTGCAATACCTGTTACAATACTGAAGTTGTTATAATTCTGGGGGAACTACGATACAGGAATTGTTGGAAAACAGCAGAGCTGAAAAATAATGTGACTGCAACAATACTGTAGCTGCCAAAATACAATAGCTGTTATAATACTGTTCCTTCTACAGTGGTAGCTACAGAACCTAGGCTGATACAGTACTTTAGAATTTCAATACAGTGACTGCCAACACACTGTTGCTCCGAAAATAGTGTCCGATATCGTTATATGGCTCCTGTAATACTTTGGGTGCTACAATACTTTGGGTGCTACAAGAGAATTTCTTCTACAGTATTGTAGCTGCTCCAATATTGTATTCGCTTCAATAACGTGTGTGTGCTAGAGTATTATAGCTATCACAATAGAGTTTCTGCTGCAATACTGTGGCTGCTACAGTACTGTGGCTGCTACAGTACTGTGGCTGCTACAGTACTGTGGCTGCTACAGTACTGTGGCTGCTACAATACTGTGGCTGCTACAATACTGTGGCTGCTACAATACTGTGGCTGCTACAATACTGTGGCTGCTACAATACTGTGGCTGCTACAATACTGTGGCTGCTACAGTACTGTGGCTGCTACAATACTGTGGCTGCTACAATACTGTGGCTGCTACAATACTGTGGCTGCTACAATACTGTGGCTGCTACAATACTGTGGCTGCTACAATACTGTGGCTGCTACAATACTGTGGCTGCTACAATAATGTGGCTGCTACAATACTGTGGCTGCTACAATAATGTGGCTGCTACAATAATGTGGCTGCTACAATACTGTGGCTGCTACAATACTGTGACTGCTAAAATATTGTGGCTGCTACAATATTGTTGCTGCTACAGTAGTGTGCCTGCTACAATACTATGGCTGCTACAATATTGTGGCTGCTACAACACTGTGGCTGCTACAGTACTGTGGCTGCTACAGTACTGTGACTGCTACAATACTGTGACTGCTACAATACTGTGACTGCTACAATACTGTGACTGCTACAATACTGTGACTGCTACAATACTGTGACTGCTACAATACTGTAGCTGCTACAATACTGTGGCTGCTACAATACTCTGGCTGCTACAATACTGTGACTGCTACAATACTGTCGCTGCTACAGTACTGTGGCTGCTACAGTACTACGCTGTTACAGTACTGTAGTTGCTCCAGTACTGTGACTTCAGTAATATTGTGGCTGTAACTTTACTGTGGCTGCTACAATACTGTAGGTTCTTATATTCGATGATTTTTAAACAGAGATATTGCTACAAATCGGTGGCTACTACAATACTGCAGCTGATACATTACTGTGGCTACAGCTTCACTGTGGTTGCTACAAGAATTGCTACAATAATACTATAGTTGCTACAATAGTGTAATTGGTAGAATTCTATGAATTCTACAATACTATGGTTGCTACATCAGAGATTGTTAAATACTATCGCTGTTAAAATAATGTAGAGGCTACATTACTATTGCTGCTACTTTACTGTGGTTGCTAAAATACTGTGGCACCTACAATACTATGGCTGTAACTGTACAGTTGATGCAGTAGTGCATTATATGCAACGATATAGTGGCTGCAACATCACTGTTAGTGCTACAATACTGAGGCTGTTACAATACATTAGCTTCTACAATAGTGCTCCTGCTACAATACAATGGTCGCTACAGTAATGAGGCAGCTACAGTACAGTGGCAGTTATAATACTGTGGCTGCTACAATACTGTGGCTGCTACAATACTGTGGCTGCTACAATAATATGGCTGGTATAGCACTGCAGTTGCTACAATACTATGGAATTAATAATACTTTCACAGCTGCATCATAAATGCTACTACCATACTGTTGCTGCTACAATACAGTATCTACAATAATAATATGGCTGCCACAATACTATCGCTGCTACAATACTGTGGCTACTGTAATATTATGGCTGCTACAGCACTATTGCTGCTACAAAACTCTGGATTCTACAGTAACCATGGCTACTACAATACTCAGGTTGCTACAGTAGCCATGGCTACTACTATACGGTAGAGTTTCTGCTACAATACTGTGCGTGCTACAGTTTTGTGGGTGCTACAGAACATCGGCTACAACAATTCAGCAGCTGCAGCAATACAGTACCTGCAACAGTAGAGTAGCTGCAATATTACTGTTACTGCTACAATAACGTACCTGCTACAATATTGTGGCTGCAGCAATACTGAGGTTGCAATAATACAATATCTACTACAATATTGCTCCTTCTACAGTATATCGGTCGCTACAATACTGAAGCTTCTACAGTATTGGCAGCTATTAAACAATTTCTAACGTAATACTGTTGCTGCTACAATTCTGTGAAATCTACAATACTTTCAAAGCTACGATACTGCAGAAGTTAATAGTTTCGCAGCAATAGTGCAGTGACTCCAACTATACTGCTGCACCTACAGTACATTGACCACTACAATAATATATCTAAAAATATACTGTGGCTACTAAAAAAGTATGTGCTACAATATTGTAGCTGCTAAAATACTATGGCTATTGCAATACTACAATTGCTACAATACTGAGACTACGCCAATACTGAAGCTGCAAGTCAGACGCAAGCAATTTACTTCTTTCTTAACAATAATGGAAATCACAACGACGGTCTCAGTAATGACTGATAAGAGAGGTCCAGAAGATACAGTACGGGAAGCAGGTATAATATTAAATACAATTCTGTCGCAAATGCTTTATATAGCTCAAGATCCCTTAATTGCAGGACTAAAACTCGACAAACAGTGTCCTCCATGTAGTAAGTTCTGGGTATTTTGAGTGACTGTAAGAAATCAGTCATACTAAGGAGCAGAGAGCTGTTCAGTGTACATATTGCCAGTGTCTGGACACAACATTTCTACATAGGATCAAATATAATTAAATCTTATTATACAAATGCCATCCTATGCATTCCTTACCCCTCCATCTCTCCCTGGCGTCTACTTACCATCCTCCTCCGTAGCACAGTTGATGGGTTGAGAGGCGACCCCCACGCCAGCACTGGTGGAGGCAGCCACTGTAACAGAGTAGTTGGTGTATCTCTCCAGGTCTCCTACAGTGGCACTCTGACCGGTCACAATACGTGATTCCCCCGCCGGCAGACCTGGAGGAGTAAATTGATACTGTGGTAACATGACTAAATACGATGTTGGTGAAGAGGTTACAGTGTCATTATCATTTTGGTTGTATTCGGCTGATGAGTTGATTTCATCTGGCTGTGTGACGAGATGACTCACGATACGATTGCTAACAAATCAGGGAATAGGTTGGGCTAGAACCCATGGCAGGTGAGTAATAACACTCACAGGTAAGTGCGCTGAACACATTGACCTATGAGTTTTCTCACACACCTATTCCGTGTGAGTCAGAAGAGTTCGTGTACTGCAGTTAGTTGCCTGAGCGCAATGGCCACAAATACGTTATCTTAGGACATATTTATTCAAAAGTTTCGGTGTTTAGAGTGACTATTTTAACTAGCTGAATTGATAAAGTTCCCGAGACAAAAACTATTTCATTAGAGGCGTTTTAGTTGAATGAATTCGTGTCCATTTCCTTCAGGTCATCGACAATCATTTGTCTTCTCACTTGCCAGTACCTCTTGCAAGATGCAGCCTCCAAAAATCCTGGTAATCACTGGGTCAACTTCATCGTCTTCATCCAAATGGAGTTACTCTTCCATTCTTCAGACATAGCCTAATTATCTAATTCCTCAGCTGCTGGACGATTCTTGGGTGTTTAGCGCTTCCCTAGGTGCTATGTGATCCCGTAATGCTTTGGCAGATGTGCTGTGTGACCCCCAGCTGCTTCCCCAGGTGCTATGTGACCTCTACTGCTTCCACAAGTGTTGTGTGACCCTTTACTGCTTCCCCAGGTGCTACGTGACCCCCTACTGCTTCCCCAGGTGTTATGTGAACCCCCTACTGCTTCCCAAGGTGCTGTGTGACATATACTGCTTCCCCAAGTGCTGTGTGATGTCTAATGCTTCCCCAGGTGCTGTGTATCTCCTACTGCTTCTCCACGTGCTATGTGACGATTAAAGCTTCCCATGTGCTAACTGACCACGTACTTCTTCCCAAGGTGATGTGGGACACCTACTGCTTCCCCAGATGCAGTGTGAAACCTACCGCTTCCCCAGGTGCTTTGTGACACCTACTACTTCCATACGTGCTGTGCGACTCCTACTGCTTCCCCAAGAGCTGTGTCACCTACTGCTTCCCAAGGTGCTATGTGATCCCCCTACTACTTCCCCAGGTGCTGTGTGACATCTACTGCTTCCCCAGGAGATATGTGACCAATAAAGCTTACCCAGTTGCTAAGTGACCACCTACTGCTTCCCCAGGTGCTGTGTGACTTCTTACTGCTTCCCCAGGTGTTGTGTGACCTCCCATGTCTTCCCCAGGTGCTTTGTGACGCCCCCTACCTCTTCACCAAGTGCTGTGACGACTTGTTGCTTCCCAGGTGATATGTTACTCCATCTTCCCCAGGTGCTGTGCGAATCCTTACTTCTTCCCCAGGTGCTGTGTGACACCACCTAGTGCTTCCCAAGGTGCTGTGTGACACCTACTGCTTACCTAGGTGCTGTGTGATGCGTAATGCTTCTCCAGGTGCTGTGAGTCACCTACTGCTTCCCCAGGTGCTGTGTGACTTCTTAGTGTTTCGCTGTGTGTCACCTACTACCTCCCAATGTGCTGTGTGACACCTACTCCTTCTCCAGGAACTGTGTGATACCTACTGCTTCCCCAGGTGGTGTGTGACGCCTCCTGTTTCCACAGGTGCTGTGACCCATTACTGCTCTCTCATGTGTTGTGCGGCCCCTACTGCTTCCCCAGATGCTGTGTGACACGTACTGATTCTCAAGGTGCTGTGTGACACCTGCTACTTCCCCAGATGCTGTGTGACACCTACTGCTTCTCAAGGTGCTGTGTGACACCTACTGCTTCCCCAGACGCTGTGTGACACCTACTGCTTCCCCAGGTGATGTGAGACACCTACTGCTTCCCCAGACGCTGCGTGACACCTACTGCTTCCCCAGACGCTGTGTGTGTCACCTACTGCTTCCCCAGACGCTGTGTGTCACCTACTGCTTCCCCAGACGCTGTCTGACACCTACTGCTTCCCCAGGTGCTGTGTGACACCTACTGCTTCCCCTGGAGATGTGTGTCACCTACTGCTTCTCCAGGTGCTGTGTGACATCTACTGTTTCCATAGGAGTTGTGGGACACCTACTACTTTCAGAGGTACTGTGTGACTCCAATTGTTTCCCCAGGTGCTGTGAAACACCTACTGCTTCCCCAGGTGCTGTGTGACACTTACTGCTTCCCCAGGTGCTGTGTGACACTTACTGCTTCCCCAGGTGCTGTGTGACACCTACTGCTTCCCCAGGTGCTGTGAGACACGTACTGCTTCCCCAGGTGATGTATGTCACCTACTGCTTACCCAGGTAATGTCTGACACCTACTGCTTCCCCAGGTGCTGTGAAACACCTACTGCTTCCCCAGGTGCTGTGTGGCCCCTCTACTGCTTCCCTGGATGCTGTGTGACACCTACAGCTTCCCCAGATGCTGTGAGACACGTACTGCTTCCCCAGGTGATGTGTGTCACCTACTGCTTCCCCAGGTGCTGTGAGACAAGTATTGCTTCCCCAAGTGCTCTGTGTTTCCTACTGTTTCCTTAGGTGATGTGTATCACCTACTGCTTCCCAAGGTGCTGTGTGATATCTACTGATTCCCCAGGTGCTGTGTGGCCCTCTACTGCTTCCCCAGGAGATGTGTGACACCTACTAGTTCTCCAGATGCTGTGACACCTACTGCTTCACTAGGTGTTGTGTGACACTTACTACGTTCTCAGATGCTGAGGGATACCTACTGCTTCCCCAGGTACTGTGGGACACCTACTGCTTCCCAAGGTGCTGTGAGACACTGCTTCCCTAGTTGCTGAGTGTTTCCTACTGCTTCTCCAGGTGCTGTATGTCACCTACTGCTTCCCAAGGTGCTATGTGACACCTAATGCTTCCCAATGTGCTGTGTGACACTGCTTCCCCAGGTGCTGTGTGTCACCTACTGCTTCCCAAGGTGCTTTGTGTCACTGATTTCCCAGGTGCTTTGTGACACCTACTGTTTCCCCAGGTGCTGTTTGTCACCTACAACTTCCCCAGGTGCTGTGACCCCTTACTGCTCTCCCAGGTGCTGATGAGGTTGTTGGTGAGTGGAGGTGATGGTGACTCACCTGTGTGGTCGTCCATGGGTGTATAGGTCAGGGTGTAGGTGGTGATTCGACCGTTGGTGAGTGCAGGTGGTGGTGGGGACCATGACACCTGCACACGGGTGGAGGTCAGTGCCACACATGACACCTCCTCTGGTGGTGCCTCTGGTACTGCAAAATCAAACATTATTATATTATTAGTAGTAGTAGTAGTAGTAGTAGTAGTGGTGGTGGTTTTGTTTATCTGGAGAGAGTTCCGGGGGTCAACGCCCCCGCGGCCCGGTCTGTGACCAGGCCTCCTTATGTCAGTGTCCCAGGATGCGACCCACACCAGTCGACTAACACCCAGGTACCCATTTTACTGATGGGGAATATAGACAACAGGTGGAAAGAAACACGTCCAATGTTTCTACTCTGGCTGGGAATCGAACCCAGGCCTTCGCCGTGTGAAGCGAGAGCGTTAACCACCAGGCCACCAGAGTAGTAGTAATTGTAGTAATAATTGTAGTAGGGGACCTTCAGTTTTCATCCGATCGGTTTCAAATTATATCTTTGCATCAGATAAGATTCATGCGACAGTTGACGTTGGCGAGTGCGGAAGCCTTTACAGCATAATCGTTACTGCGACATCGCCGCTAGCCAGGTTCTTGACGTGTTCTTCACAGCTTGTCTGACCACTCAGTTCCTTCTTTATCGAGAAGGAATTGAGGGAGGAAAGCTTCACAAACCAGTCGGAGGGATAGGTACAAACTAGGTACTTTGAGGGCGAATACAGCGCAAAGATCGTTGTGGCCTCCACTCTCCTACTGAGGGAGAAGACCGATCGTTTTCCAGGCCAAAGGTATCCTATTCACAGGGGTTTTCTCCACCTGTGAGTGAGCGGGGTAGGTTGGGTTGGGTTGATTTCTTCCAAACGGTTTCCTCGCAGCGCAGCCCAGCTTCTTTTAACAGGTCAAGCCTGCAGAGGTAAACGAGATCAGCAAAACCTGTGACTATCAACAGCTTTAAGACAGGAACAGAAACTTTCTGATAGTTTCTGCCTACGTGGCTCTTAATACTACTTGCCACCTGTGCTAGTGTTGTCAGGGTTAAAGAGGTTTAAATAATATAAACTAATGCTCACTATCAGTCAAGATTACTTTATTCTCTGAAATAGGGATTAAGGTAAACGACCAGGAACCTGGTCGATCAGGCTATCAATCGAAAAGCTTGGTCTGGGGCCGGGTCGAGAGGGTACTGACTCACTAAATTATCTCCAAAAATCTTCCTGAAGTTGGGATAAAACTTAACTCTCAGCATATATCCAGTGTTGTCAAAGCTGGTTCATTGGTCTTAAAGCCTGTCCACTCTGCATGTCATCTCTGCACAATCAACACTTAAATCTCTAAAATAAGAATTAAATTCTTAGATAATGTACACTGATAGATATATTCCTCCCGCTGTAAATATCCTGTGTATTGTCACTTGGTGGGGAACAACAGTGTTTTCTGACACGGGTCTTCATTAGTTGATGACGGGAATACATCTTCCTCGTCCGCTGAAAGACTTGACGCTGTCTCCGACTACACCGGTGAGCCTTCTTATGCCCCTTATTTTTTACAGCCCTCGCAGCAATCTTTTCCTTCACAGCATTCTGATTCCTCCCTACTTACTCGCTTTCCGTTGCCTCCACACATTGACTTCACTGACCCTACTAGCCCGTCAATTGCATCTCTTCTCATTGTTAGTATACCTATCTATGTAAATAATGACTTATTTACAATGGAATATTCGTGGCCTCAGGGGTAATCGGGGAGAACTCCAAGTGTTACTCCAAGTTTTCCGCAGTATGTGTCGGGATACAAGAGCCTAAATTTCGTTCAGCTGTTATCTATCCCGTTTCGGGCTATGTGCTGTTACATTCTTCTGATCCCTTTCCTGACGAAGCTTTTAATGAGAGTGTGCTTCTTGTGCGCGTTGATATACCGTTCTAACAGGTCTTTGTTCGTTCTCTGCTGCATTATACCGCAGCCCGTATTTATTTGCACAGGTGGTATACAGTTTGCTCCTATATCTTTCCCCTTCCCTTGCATTCTGTATCTCGGACGTTTTCTTAATCTCTTCTCTGCCGCTCCCCATCTTGTTGTTAGGTGATTTTAACGTTGGTCATCTCTGGGGAGGGTCCCACTGTGACTCTCGTGGTGATTACTTTTCACCCTCAAGTTTTACACATGGGTGCTCCCACCCATTCTGACTCTCGCACTCAATCTCTCTCTAGCAATGATCTTTCTATCTTCTCCTTGTGACATGCACTTGATTACGCTTGGTCTGTTCTCCCGGATTTGCACGACAGTGATAAGTTTCCTATTATTTCTACGTGTACTACGTATTCCCGACCTCCTCGTAGTCCCCGCTGTCAGTTTGGACGAGTGAATTGGGACTTACATTCACATCTTACCGTTTTTCTTTGTGAGGACCCTTCTTCGTCCTCTGTTGATGAGCTGGTGCACCAATTTTCGACCTTAGTTTTGACTGCAGTGTCATGTTCTATTCCTCAAACCTCAGGCAGTCATTCTCAGAAATGCGTGCCTTGGTCTCCTGCATGTGCCCGCCCAGTGCCTTTGAAACGTGCAGCGTGGATTTTAAGCGTGCTAGGGCACTTGTTGGCAAGACTACGTTTCTGTTACCTCGACTTCCCCTATGTATGCGGTTTGGAAGAAGGAAGAAGGCAAGTACGTTCTGGACCCAGCTCCTGTTTTGCGGGTTGCTGGTGTTAGTGTTGCGGAATCTCTTAAAGTTGCCGTGGAAATCGGAAACTATCTTGTCCGTGTCTCCCAAGGGCTTCACCTCTGTCCCTTGAATCTCTCTTCTAATGGGATGGAGCCGTATAACGTATCTTTTACTCTCTTAGAGCTAGAGTCCATTCTTTCCGCTTGCTGGTCATCGGCAGCTGGACCTGATGATATTCATATCCCTATGCTACAGCATCTGCATTCTACAGTTCTTTTGCGTCTTTTCAATCCTGTTTGGACGTGAGGGGATTCTTCCTCAACAATAGAAATCTGCCATTGTACTACCGTTTCGCAAAATAGGCACTTTGGGGCTTGATTCCTCTCACTATCATCGTCCCATTGCTCTGACCAATGTTCCCTCATGGAAGGTTCCTTGATGTTGGTGAGGGACTCTTGATTTAGGAAATTGGATCTGTGCTCCAGTTCCCCGACTTAAGCCTGAATGCCTTCCACATCTCCCCCCCCCCAGGCGCTGTATAATCCTACGGGTTTAGCGCTTCCCCTTGATTATAATAATAATCTGACCAATGTAATCTGCAAGATGATGCAACGATTGGTGAATAGACGTCTGATATGGTATTTGGAAACTTACGATAGTCTTTCTCCTTGCCACTATGGCTTTCGCAAGGGCCGCTCTACTTTGGACCCTTTGCTCCACTTAGAAACGTATGTGCGAAATGCTTTTGCTAATAAACACTGCATCCTGGGAGTCTTTTTTAATCTCGAGAAGGCATACAACACCGCTTGGAGGTATAACATCTTAGTTCAGGCTCACTCCTTAGACCTCCGAGGTAATCTACCGACCTTCCTTGCTGCTCTCTTATCTGACATTTTCGTGTCCGTGTTGACGCCTCGCTTTCCTCAGACATTTTCTGTTGGGTCCCTGGACACGTTGATGTGAGGGACAAAGAACAGGTGGCTGCTGCTGCGCGGTTTCCTATAGAGGTATTCCGTTCAGGGATTATTTTACTGTCATCTCCGCCCGTCTTCGTGGCCGTTGGCAACAACGGTGTTCGGACATGCACCATAATAAATCACACTATTAAACCGCTTTTAGGTTTGTGGCCATCTTACCACCGTTACCCTACTCGGGAGACTGTACTCTTCCGTCTCCGCATCGGCTATACTTGCCTTACCCATGGGTATCTCATGGAACGACACCGTATTCCCCTCTGAAATTTGTCGGGTCCCTATTTCGGTTCTTCCCTTTCTTGTGGATTGCCCTGTTTAACAGCGAGGTCGCAGGATTTACCTCCACCGACGCCGCCGACCTACCACTCTCACCTTATCTTCCCTTCTGGCAGACGGTCCTGCCTTTGACTTACAATCACTTTTTGACTTTTTGTCAGCAACTGCTTTACTATAAGAACTTTCACATATAACCCTTAGCGTCCCTTCAGCCCTTTTCTCCCCTACCTTCTGATCCCCTCTCCACCTAGTTGTTTATAACACCAGTACTATTTTCTGCCCCACAGCACTGCATGTCCCTTGTCGGTTTAGCGCTTTCTTTGATTATTTGATTATAATACTTATGGGTGAACACAGATAACCGATTTAAGGAAACACTCCCAATGTTTCCACCTTTTTCGGGAATGGAACGAGGACCCTCAGCGCGTGAAGGGAGAGGTTTGCCTACCAGGCAACGAGCCACCAAGTAATAATAATGTCTTTATTTCTACAAGTATATATGTACAAGGTTTTGCCTGGAGTTTACCTGGAGAGAGTTTCGGGGGTCAACGCCCCCGCGGCCCGGTCTGTGACCAGGCCTCCTGGTGAATCAGAGCCTGATCAACCAGGCTATTACTGCTGGCTGCACGCAAACCAACGTACGAGCCACAGCCCGGCTGGTCAGGTACCGACTTTAGGTGCTTGTCCAGTGCCAGCTTGAAGACTGCCAGGGGTCTATTGGTAATCCCCCTTATGTATGCTGGGAGGCAGTTGAACAGTCTCGGGCCCCTGACACTTATTGTATGGTATACAAGCCTAGCTGACATCAATGACATACTACTATATAGAAAGCCCCATGTTATGCATAACATTTCCTGCAAATTAGGTCAGTTTTGTCCCAAGATGCGACCCACACCAGTCGACTAACACCCAGGTACCCATTTTACTGATGGGGTGAACAGTTTCAACCCTCGCCGGGAATCTAACCCGGACCCTCGCTGTGTGAAGCGAGAGCTTTTCCCACCAGGCCACCGTTGGCAACTCTCTCACCTCACACACTGAGTTACCGTAGTTCAATCTCCAGCACAGTTAGAAACGTTGCCTCACACCTGCTGTTCTTGTTCACCTAGCAGTGCTCAGTGGCCTGGTGGCAAAAGCTTCACACGGTGAGTGTCCGGGTTCGATTCCCGACGAGGGTGTAAATATCGGACGTGTTTCCTTATTCCGGCTGTCTGTGTTCGCCCATCGGTAAAATGGGTACTTTTGTGTGTTAGTAGACTGGTGTGGGTCGCATCCTGGGGAACAAGATTGAATGACCACACTGGATGTAAGACAAACAGTAGTCCTAGATAATGCACTGACTTTCTTGGGTTATCCTGGGCGGATAATCCTTCCCCGGGTTAAAAATATCAACAAAACTTATTTTTTCATACTTATTTTAGTTAACCACAATAAATAAGCGTAATATCCGTTTTTTATATAGTAAAGTCTGCAATTAAAGAAAACTAGAAAGCCCCCAAAACTCTTCAGGGTAACCTACGCTATAAAAAACAATATCCATGATGATGATATGATGATGATAATGGCGAATAAGAACAAACTTTATTCGCATTACAAACTTCTGAGACTTGATTGCGTAGAGAAGGGTAATCTATTTTAATTCCATTCCTCGGATCCTTCCCTAGGAAGCGACACACAATACTCTATTAACTCCTAGTTATCTAGGGAACCAATCACAATGGCCTACCAACTCACAGTTATCTAACAAGCGACCCACAACAGCCTACTAACTCATAGTAATAGTTAACAATTGAGTTTCAGAAATTGGGATATTCATTTTCTGTATGACTTAGAATACCTCTTCTGAGTCACTTACCAATTTTTCATGCTGATATTTAAATGCATTTACTAACGTATTCTAAATTATTCCATTCACGTGCACAGAGGTACAGCAGACTGAGGTAAATAAGATAGGATTACCTTCATCTATGGTGTTTAGTAATTCCGAGCAAATGACCGAGATTTTGACTTACAGGTCAACACGCCCTTATTGTTTTTCCTGTCGCATCTGAATAAATTTAATCCTGGGATCCGTATTTCATCGTCAAAGTGATACTTTATGTGAGTCTCTGTGACAGCTGTAAACATTGCATTCGACTCTGTGAGCAGTCCAGTGTTGAAAGATATTTTGTTGTTTGTTGATGACTTTAGACCCGGTATATTTGCAGAAATAAATGTTGTATTGATGGTGCATAGGGAGGCACTACTATCTGTTGTTCTGGATTGGAGGCCACTGTCTGTGCCTCCACTTCAGTAGTGATTCGAGGTGGTGTAGTATCAAACCACGGTACGGGTGGGGTTCAAACTTACGGCAAGCGAGTCGTTAAACTCTAGGCCAGTGCGTAAGCTACTGGGCCAGCTGGCTACAATAAGATTCATCCAACTAGATATATTTATATACCACAGGGAGGTTAGCATGGGCCCCACTGTGACTACAAATGCAAGTTTTACAAATCGAATCTCCCGTCAGCGTGGCCGTGACAAACTCTAGCTCAAGTTCCCTCAAAGTCGTCATCATGACTCACGAGGCCATAACACGATTGCAAACAAACCACGGTATGGGTGGGGATTGAACTCACGGCAAGTGAATCGTAAAACTCCAGGCTAGTCTGTTATTTAATTTCACAACGAGACTGCATTACTTACTAATCAAACTCCCATTATAACATATCCCTTTGATCTTCAGTTGCTGTCTATGCACTTATTTAGAAGTAATTGGTTCTAGTGTAACTTTTGTAAGTCAGATCAAGCTGCTGTATGATAAAAATGGGTTTAGCACTTAACGTGAATTAAACAAACAAAAATCTAAACGGCTGTAGAGACTGAGGATTGGAGAGTGTCGAGGTCTCTCACAGAACAGAATCCCGAGGTCTCTCACAGAACAGACTCTCGAGGTCTCTCACAGAACAGAGTCCCGAGGTCTCTCACAGAACAGAGTTCCGAGGTCTTTCACAGAACAGAGTTCCGAGGTCTTTCACAGAATAGAGTCCCGAGGTCTCTCACAGAACAGTCCCTCGAGGTCTCTCACAGAACAGAGTCCCGAGATCTATCACAGAACAGTCTCGAGGTTCTCTCACAGAACAAGTCCAAGTTTTACAGAACAATCCAAGTCTTTCAGCAGTAAGAGTCCAAGGTCTCCGGATAGTGCCACAGGAATAAGTGAGGTTATCAGTCTAGTCTCAAGCGTAAGGTAACAACAGCAGTAACTTTTAGGCCCCGGTAAATGAGGGATTTTTTGCTGTTCAAGGTAAGGGAAGGAACAGGAGTAACTTTAGGCTTGGTGTATGAAAGAAGCGTCTTTACTTAAGGTGTAATATAGGAGAAAAGTACTTCTGCCTGTGATACGTTTATCTAAATTAAATTTCTCCCGATCAGTTCATTAACCATCAAACTCACGGGTTGAAGGTTTTCCTCACTGAATATAATGGCAATACTCACCGTCCTCTAGAGTGGTAGCAAAGACCTCGGTGGAGAGAGGACCCGGACCTTTAGCATTGAAGGCTTGCAGGACGAAGATATATCTGGTGAAGCTCTGCAAACCAACCACCGTCCAGGATTCCTGTCCAGCCCCCGTCACTCCCACGCTAGTGAAGCTGAATGATCGTCCTTGAGTCATCGCTCTGAGGAACAACAGTTTCATTACCTAAACATTACCCGGGTATCAGTCTCGCGAATGGGGCACGGAGGATCGAGCCTTCACTATCTCACATTGAGATGATTGATAGTTTAAGGAGGTAAGGTGGGTCATCATGCTGAAGAAAGGCTCCTGAAAAAAAAGAAATTTTAGCAACACTACCTTTTCTTGGTTAAATCTAGTTAATACCTATTCCATAGGCGCTGTGTAACCATCGCGGATTTAGCAATCTTTCCCTGAATAAAAAAAAATCATAATTCAGGTCTATTCTCCTTGTACTGAATGACTTAAATGGGTTTAAAACTTCACAGCACAATAATTAATAATAATTTGTTAACTTTGACATATATTTTATGGTGTTTATATGGAGATTCTAACTCTCTGCAGTTCTTCTTTCGAGGCTTTGGAGCATTCCTCCTTTTCTCAGACCGAGCCAGGTTGTCTCCCATTCCCAGGATTCTAACTGATCATTTTTACTAAATATTCTTAATGACTTATTTATGGACAATGAATTTGTTTGAGATGTTTATAGTAATCAGCAGTCTGCGTCCAGACTCCAGGCAACCAGTAGACTCCCAGACTACCATAGATCTCTAGACTCCAGTTACCAAGACTCCAGACTCCAGGCTACCAGTAGACTCCAGACTCCAGGTTACCAGTAGACTCCAGACTCCAGGCTACCAGTAGACTCCAGACTCCAGGCTACCAGTAGACTGTCTCCAGGCTACAAGAAGGGCTTGTAGTATGTCTCCTGACCTGTTCCGTAATATCTGCGGGTATTGCATTAATCCGAGGCAGATCAGGCACATACATGACTCTAATATTTGCTGTATACTACAGATGATGCTTGTTTTGGAGTGCCTCATGGTTACCAGGATAAATCATGGTCATCTCATGTCTGTTGTGGTGGTCACTCAACATTAGACGGATGGTTACCTGCTAGTAGGAAGTGAAATAGTCACAATTTCTCTAAGTTGGAGAGCTAACTAGCAACCTTAATGGCCGCTGCTTTTACATGATAGACATTCCCAAGTACAGAAGCGTAAGTATAGAGGAAATGTTGTTTATCCAAACATCCTGATATCTGGTAGGTAAGACACGTCGGCAACAGTTAGGCAACTTTATTCCGAAACGTTTCGCCTACACAGTAGGCTTCTTCAGTCGAATACAGAAAGTAGGCAGGAACAGTAGAGATGTGAAGACGATGTAATCACTCTATCACCCTTGAAGTCGTAGAATTTTGAGGTTGTCAGTCCCTCGGCCTGGAGAAGTTCAGTTCCATAGTCAGGAACTATCTGAAGATCAAGCGACAGTGCGGAGACTTAAATACTGTCGCCGATGTGTCTTACCTACCAACCTGTCGGTATTGCATACCATTTTGATGTTCATCCTGATATCTATTAACCCAGTTAAATGACGGAACGGGTGGGGCTAGAACCCATTGTAAGTGAATCCTAAAACTTACAAGCTAATGTATGATTTGTTTGCCAATTCACAGACAACCTGCTTTAGAAGGGATTACAGAAGCTGGAGTTTCATCTTAGCAAAACCGCGAGAGTGATGCTTCTAATGAATCATTTGTCAAAGAAATCTCCAGCTTCCCATATTCAAAAAAATCTCAATGACTTATTCAAGTACAGTGGACCCCCGCATAACGATTACCTCCGAATGCGACCAATTATGTAAGTGTATTTATGTAAGTGCGTTTGTACATGTATGTTTTGGGGTCTGAAATGGACTAATCTACTTCACAATATTCCTTATGGGAACAAATTCGGTCAGTACTGGCACCTGAACATACTTCTGGAGTGAAAAAATATCGTTAACCGGGGGTCCACTGTACTTGGATCTTATCAAATACGACGCATACCTTTTGACTTCCCGTCTCAAAGAATGAATTTTATTGGATATTAGTTGTAAGATATTAATCAACAAGAAAAAAGGCATATGACTTCTTCAACTTTCCTCAGATTGTATGAAATCAATTCTTTGTGTCACAGTTCGGATGTGAATGACCTTTTTGACGACACCGATTTTGAGTACCTCTCGGATTGTCGCTCATTCATTTAACAGTTCAAGAAGAATTTTAAAGACTGTTTTGTTTCAAAATTATAAGAAACTTTTAGTAGTTTTGGTTAAATAGGTGAAGTAAAAGAAGACAGTGAAAACGCAAAGTGTTTGCTGAACAAGGTCACTACGTACACAAAAAAGATATGTGGAAACTAAGATGCTAGGATTCTTTCTTGGATGGCAGATGACCAGTACGATGTCCATAACAATGCTCTTCTTGACTCAGATAATAAATTGCTGCCACCACTTCACATAAAGCTGTGGATTTTAGAGTAGGTCGTCAGAACTCAGTAATGCCTTCAAACATATATTCGAAATATTTCCAACAATGTGTAAAGGGAAAGAGAAAGATGATGCATTAGTTGGAGCAAAGTTAGGCGGATGTTCACAACTCAAAAGTTGGAAAATAAAATTACTACTGCTGAAAAATGTGCATGTCATGTGCGTCGGCTTGAAGTGCGTCGGCTTGAAGTGCATCGGCTGGAAGAAGGATGAATAATAGAGAAGACCAGGAGAGAGAATGCCACTGAAACCACACTATTTTCACTATCACTTGGACTTCTTTTAAAAAAAGGGAAAAATGCATAAAGAGATCGATGAAATCTTCACCTGTAGATTCAAACCGTGGAGAAGATGCATCAGGGATAATGGGGTGATAATTAACTACATCTGAGGTTTGATTAGAGAAAGATCTGATTATATATATATATAATATATAATATATATATATATATATATATATATATATATATATATATAATATATATATATATAATATAATATATATTCTTTCTTTCAACACACCGGCCGTATCCCACCAAGGCAGGGTGGCCCAAAAAGAAAAACGATAGTTTCTCTTTTAAATTTAGTACTTTATACGGGAGAAGAGGTTACTAGCCCCTTGCTCCCGGCATTTTAGTCGCCTCTT